CGCCTGTCGCTTGAGGGCGAACCGTAGCTCATTTCCACACAGGAGAAACAAGAGAAGGAATGGTAAAGCACTGTGCCCTTCAGCCTGATATTTGGAATATATTAATCTGAGAAAATCTCTGTTGCTAAGTCCAATTTCCGTCGAGGGGAAGCATTTTCACGTTTGTCCAGAGGCCGTAAAGCTGCCGGGTCCCGCCGTGGATCCTGTTTCCAGGCTGGCTGGTGACACCTGCAGAGGCTGAGCAACAGGGGACACCAGGCCGGAAGTCTGGTTGTCACGGCAACGGAGCATTAGCCAGCACCATGACAGGCACCAGGACCTGCGGGGGGTGGGGGTTGCCGCGAGGGCATGCGGGCTGTAGAGGTCACTTCCTGTCTCTCCGCAGTGCCCGAGGACTCCCTTAAATACATATTAACAACTTGCTAAAGGTTTCAGGATCGGAAGCATGTAATTGCTGTAATTATATTTAAAGCGTGAAGCCTTTAGCCAGCTTTTCCAGAAACATCCATACACTAGGAAGTGCTTTCCCAGCTGGGTGCCGGTGTCCCGTGCCTGTAACCCTAGCTACCCGGGAAGCTGGGAGTTGGAAAGATTTCTGACTCCAGGCCAGCCCAGGCAGAAAGTTGGAGCATCACTATCTGGAGAAACTGGGGGTGGGGGTCAGGTGAGGCTAGAGGATGGCGCAAGTGGTAGAGGGCCAGCCTGCAAGCAAAGCCCTGAGCTCAAAGCCCAGCACTGCCCCTCTCTGCTTTGGATTCTGACCCCTGTGGCTCACTCTCCCTTCGGTTGGCCGGGCTAGGCTGTGTATCTCGTGGGCTGCCACCGCCAGTCGGCTGACCTCACAGAGACTGTTCTGACGATGTGGCCAGGGAGGGGCCTGCAGTGCTGGAAACTCGGTGGCACTTGAGGGGTGAGTTTGCTGCGGGCTAGTGGCCTGTGGGGGGCGTCCGCTGCAAGCACCGCGGGCTGTGGTGCGGAGGGCTCCGGCTTCCTGGGGCAGAGCCACTGTGCACTCTGGGCCTGGCAGCTGGGGTCATCCCCGCGGGCCTGGCGGTGGTGGTCACATTCTGCATGCCCTGGTGTTTGTTAGGCCCACAGCCCTTCCCTTCTGCTAGCAATAGTGCAGAACACAATTTTGGCGTGTTATTTCTTAACTTCTCAACCTAAAATATAACCTGCAAAAATTAAACTTTTAAAAGCTCCTGGCTCCCTCCAGGGCCATCATTACAGGCCCCTGGGGTGACGGCGGGCGGGCGGGCGGCTCCGCACGGAGTGACAGCCAGCCGGGGGGCCCAGGCCCCCTCCGCCCCGATTTTAACGGCAGAGCTAATGGATTTCCTGTTTCTCACGTGGATGGTGGCTGTCACTTTTGAAGGATCCATCTGTGCTGCACTTAATTACTCTTTCTAAGATGCTGAAATAGTTTTCCACAAAGCTCCTGAGACCCGGCGACAGTTTTCTTTTGAGAGTAGCCATCGGGGACCTGGGCTCTGATGTTGACGTGGTTTTCCTCTGCATAGAGGGGCCTGGTCCCTGACACGGCTACTCTCACTCTGAATGTCACTTGTGTGTGTCGCCTGCAGTCTGCCCAGTGGGCCCAGGCAGCTTTCCCAAGACTGAGTGCATCCGTCAAGTCCAGCCCTGCGGCTGCAGCCCCGCGCCCGGCACGTGTACCCCTGCCTTGGTGACTTGGTTTCTCACTTCCAGTGGTGTTCTTCCCGCTTCTCAGTTTGCACATAGAAGAACGATGAAGGCCCCCCCTTCGGCATTGGTATTCCTGAGGGCAGGTGCCTCAGAGCTGCCAGGAGGGAGGGTCCAGGGCTCAGGCACGGCCTTCTGCCTCGGGCTCCCCACCCACACAGGGGGCTGGGGCTAGCCGTGCCCCCCCTCGGGCCTGAACTGGCTCCTTACCCCACGCCTCAGGCCCCCTCCCCGCCCCCCGTCACGCCTGCGTGCGCCGGGCTGGGCTCTGCGCTGCCCTCCCCTGCAGCCACAGGGCCTGTGGCAGAGCGGAAGCCAGGCACCTCTGCCCTCCAGACCAGGCCCCAGCTGTAGGCACAGGCGGTGAGCCGTGCAGAACGTCCCAGCTGACAAAAGGCCCTGGTGCAGCGGACGGCGCTGGGCCTGGTCTGTCTGGCCCTGCAGAAGGCGGGACTCACGAGGACCCCGTGTGCTGGACACCCACCAGCGTTGGCCTCTGGCAGCATGCTGGTTATTTTTTCTGGGGATGCATCCTCTGCCATGCTGAAGTAGACAATGGCCTCCCTGTGTGCACCGAGCGGCGGCTGGGGCTCCTCAGACCCCAGCCAGCCGGAGACACAGGCAGTGGCGCGGCCACCCTTCCCCCCCAGCACCCAGGACGGGAGGGTGGCTCCCGCTGCCACTCCAGGCTGGAGGCCACGGAGACAGAGTCCACCGTAAAGACCCTGAGCCCCCAGGTCCTGGCTCAGCAGCTGTCCCAGGGAGACAAGAGTGTTCTGTTCACTCCAGAGGGCGCAGGATGACCACGCAGCCCCAGCCACACATCCCCCGACTCCAGAGGCAGCTAGCCTCCCCTCTCACCCGCCCCGGCGCCTGCCTCCCGGTGCCCGCGTGTGGCTCTGAGTGCCACCACAGCGGATCCATTCCCTCCATCGGGGGGCTGGGGTCCCTCCCACTGTGCACGCGCACTAAGTTCTGCTCCTGCCTCTGCGCAGTTCCGTGGCGGCAGGCCCCAGGCACTGGGGAGTGCGGCCTCCGCCAGCCTGGCGGCCCAGCTGGGGAGCGCGGCCCCCGCCAGCCTCGCATTCCAGCTGGGGAGCGCGGCCTCCGCCAGCCTCGCTTTCCAGGCGCTGGGGAGCGCGGCCTCCGCCAGCCTCGCATTCCAGCTGGGGAGCACGGCCTCCGCCAGCCTCGGCCCAGGCGCTGGGGAGTGCAGCCTCCGCCAGCCTCGCTTTCCAGGCGCTGGGGAGCGTGGCCTCCGCCAGCCTCACGTTCCAGGCGCTGGGGAGCGCGGCCTCCGCCAGCCTCGCATTCCAGCTGGGGAGCGCGGCCTCCACCAGCCTCGAGGCCCAGGCGCTGGGGAGCGCGGCCTCCGCCAGCCTCACGGCCCAGGCACTGGGGAGCGCAGCCTCCGCCAGCCTCGCATTCCAGGCGTTTGGGCGGTGTGCAGGGTCTCGGGCGGCCTCTCCTTCACGGTGGATGGTGTGAGTCTGGGAGGAGGTTCTGGGGGTCAGCCATCCATGTCCAGCGCGCTGCCATGGGCACCTGCCACGCGCTGCCTTCCCCTCGCGCACCACGGGGCTCTGCAGGGCACTGCCAGACCTCGGCAAGGAACTCGGCCCAGACGTGTCTCTGCTTGTTTGTGTACTTATTCATTTGTTGGTCTGTGGCCTCGTGAATGTCCATTTCATATTTTGTGTTATAATTTAGTACTAAACAGCTCTTATTTCATAAGTTCTTTTTTTTTGTGGGGGGGTCCGGTTATGGGGCCTGAACTCTGGGCCTTGGCGCTGTCCCTCAGCTCTTCAGCTCAAGGCTAGCGCTCTACCACTTGAGCCACAGTGCCACTTCCGGCTTTTTTCTTTTTGCTTATGTGGTGCTGAGGAATCGAACCCAGGGCCTCAGGCATGCAAGGCAAGCGCTCTACCACAGAGCCACCTTCCCAGCCCTTATTTCATAAGTTCTTTGTTTTATTTTTCTCGCCAGTCCTGGGGCTCGCGCTCAGGGCCTGGGCACTGTCCCTGAGCTGCTTTTGCTCCAGGCTAGCGCTCCACCGCTGCAGCCCCGGTGCCACCTCCAGTCCTCTTTGTGAATGTGGCACTGAGGAGTGGAGCCCAGGGCCTCACACACACTGAGGGAGCTCTCCCGCTGAGCCCCATCGCAGCCCCAGCTCTTTGTTTTAGAAGTCGCAGGGATCACTGGAGGGATTCCCCTCTGCCCACTTCCCCTCTTTCCCTCCTGCCTGTCCCTATACGCACACACATGTGCAGGCGCTGTCTGCCCACTGAGAGCCCAGCAGCGGTGTCAGCCGTGTCCTGGAGGCTTAGGAAAGGAGGTCACTTGGATCCAGGGATCCCTAGCTCTGATTCTCCTTCCTAGGTGGGCCAGAAGACTCCATTTCCCCACCCCACCCCACCCCTGTGCGGCCAATAGAGGACTCCCGGGCGTGGTGCCGTGTCTGCACTGCCATGCTTCCCTAGGGAAATATTCAAAGCTGAACTTGTTTCATGCAAACCTGATGAACAGTGGGCTCCTCTGTGGCCGTGGTGGCTCAGGCCTTTGATCCTAGCTGCTCAGGAGGAGTGTGCTTCAAGGCCAGCCTCATCATCTCAGGTAGCTAGGTGTGGTGGCCTGGCCCTCGGCCCCGGCTAGGGAAGGAAGGAGTGTCAACAGTACCACCAGGATGGGCAGCCCAAAAGCGAGACGATTCAAAAGCTGGAGGCCAGAAGGGCTGGGGCCTGCAGCTGCAACTCCTCCGCACGATTACAATGGGGGGGGCGTAGCGGGTGGCTCTCGCCTGTAACCCTACATGCTCGGGAAGCTGAGATCTGAGGATTGAGATTCCAAGCCAAACGGCAGAAAAGTCCCCGTGAGACTCTTACTTCCAATTAACTACCCAGAAACCAGAAGTGGTGCTGTGCTCAAGTGGTAGAGTGAAAGAGGCTCAGGGACAGCGCCCAGACCTTGAGTTCAAGCTCAGTGGTAGAGCGTCTGCCTAGGAAGCTCAAGCCCCGGGTTCAAACCCTCGTACTGCCAAAAAAACACAAAGCCCACTTCCCACAGCCCCACGGGCAGCCCGGGTCCAGGCTGGGCGCAGACGCAGTGCTGTGTGTGACTAGACCGGGCGGGGCCCTCTCGAGGTCCCAGGGCGCCTGCAGCCGGAGACCGCGGGCTGCTGCGCTCACGTCCTGGGACGTGGTCTCTGCCGCACAGCGGCCACATAGTGGACAGCTGGGGGGGGGGCCGCCGTGCCTGCTGCTGCCGGCCTCACCGTCCCCCCCCTCCCCGTCTCGCTGTAGGATGGGAGTCTCAGCTGCTGGAGACCGGGTTCCTGGGGATCTTTCTGTGCCCCCTCTGGACCCTGTCCCGACTGCCCAAGTCCACCCCGCCATCCCGCATCGTGCTCTGGGGCTTCCGGTGGCTGATTTTCAGGATCATGCTGGGAGCGGTAAGTGGAACTTCCTCGTGATGCTCTCGGGAAGTGACATTCCCAGAAGCCCCGGGTGGCCTGCCGGCCTAGGGTGGCCAGCCCGGTGCTCCTTGCTGACCAGGCTGCCTGTCCGGCCTCACCAGGCCTGCTGTGTTTTCTGCCTCACGGTGCCCACTCTGAACGCTGTCTCTCGGGGAGTCAGCAGGGTCACCTGAGTGACGGAGGTAATGCCCACTGAAGCAGACCCTGGAGACGCTGCTGTGTGGCGACATCAGCCGGCAGCTCCGCCCGCGGCTCTGATGCCAAGAGTTGCAGGCACCGTTTTGCCCGGGAGAGATGGCAAGTCATTATTAGCACGTTCTGAAGCCTTTCATGACATTTTGATTGACTGTTAATGCCAGCTGGATATAAATTACCAGGTGCACTAAAAGGTGCAATTACGTGACGGTCTTGGGTGGCATCGTCGCAGCTTCGGTGGGAGGCGAGAGGCGTGGGGACGAGGGACCCGGCCGCAGACCTGGCCCTGGCCTCCTCTGCGTGGGCTGGACCCGCGCCCACCGCCGAGAGCCGCTCACAACCGTCTTGGGGTTTGTGGTCTGATCATGTTTGTGTTCAGCACTGGTGGGTCCCCTGGAGCTGAGTCAGAGGCCCCCACTTGTGAGGGGAGGACACGGGGCTGGAGAGCTACCGCCTGACCCCTGGTGGCCCTGCCCAGCAGGGGCTGCACTGACGTCCCTTCTGGTTGGACGGGGGCTTGTGTCCTCTGCATGACTGCAGCAGAGGCGAGGCCGGTCCTCTGTCCCCTGCCTCCCCATCCCCGGTCCTCCAGCAAGGGTGGGGGGCGTGGCCTCCGCCTGTGCGCCTGCCTCCCTGCTGGCCCTCCTTCCCTGTCCCAGCGGCGCCGCCTCCCGCAGGGGTGGAGCTCCCAGATCACCATTCTGTCTGCGGTCATTGACGGGCAGTTCCCATGTCCTGTGGAGGAGGCCGGGCTCTGCCAGGCACACGGCCCCCCCGCAGGAGCTCACGGGATGGAAGGCGGAGCCCCAGGCTCTGGGGCCGGGGTGGCCCTGCACCTGGCTCCCTCTCCACGGACACTGGGCTTCTGCTGCTCCGCCCGCACCCGTGCCTCACAGCTGAAGGCCCTGAGGCTGGCCGTGCAGGGCACAGCGGCCTGCAGGGCTCCTTGTGCTCGCCCCTCCCTGCCCGCACCTCTGCCTGCACTCGGGCCAGACCGCCGGGCCACTCGCCAGGCTGCCTCCAGTTTTCTGCGGAGGTGCATCTGGAGGCGGCAGGGTGCTGGTCACGGGGAGCAAGGCCAGCAGAGTTCCAGCACGCCCTGCAGACACACTCTGCCCTTTTCCTGGGTCTTGGTTCGTTCTGCACAGAGCAAATGCGAAGTGGAGTTTGTGTTCTTCGTCCCACAGTGCTTCTAGCGCCTGTCAGTAGAGCCGGGCTTCTGGGCGGGGGATGGATTTTCCATGTGTGCTCTGGAGCCGGGCCTGCCCTTGATTACTTTGTCCTGATGAACTGTGCTGCGTGGCGGGTTAACACTCTCTGTCGCCGAGATTCTGGGAATTGAGCCAGTGTCATTATTGCTGAGAATTCTCAGACCTGGGGCATACCCGAGGGAGACCCCTGCTTTCGGTGTGGCCCCCTAGAGAACCAAGAGCTGGAAGCCCGCTTCTTCCTGCGCCGCCTCCCCCAGCCCTCTGCCTCCTGTCTGCAGGATGTGTGCAGAGCCTTCCCTGGGCCTGGGCCCTGCTCTGCTGGGCGCTCCGGCTGGAACCATCAATATCCAGAGAGGGCATCTGGAAGCGGCAAAGTGAACACGTCGCGCAGATGTCACCCACGGTGGTCAGGAGAGGGAAGGAGGCCTGGCCAGCGGGCTCCTGGGAGCACCGAGGGGTTCTGCTCTGGGTGTGCAGCGGAGCCTGCGGTGTCTGCTGCCCCACGGTCCCCTCTGCCCACAGCAGAGCCCGCGGTGTCTGCTGGCCCACGGTCCCCTCTTGCCCTAATATTTACACTGCCATTTCTCCTAGTGTAGTTTTCTTACTTTGCGTGTCAGTGGTTAGTTGAATGCTGCTAGGTGAGCAGATCTCAGTGTGCGCAAGCTTGCGGCGGCTGAAGCCGGTCACTGCTGAGTCACAGAGCAGGCTCCGCGTGGAGGAGGGGAATAGTAGAGGCCTGCGTTGACCCCAGTCTGCGGGCCACAGAAAGCAGTGGCGAGCATCTTGCACACAGTGGCGGGTTCCCCCGGCTGGCTGGCGGGACCGTGCACTGGTGCACATCTGGCGACGGCACCCCGCAGGTGGGTGCACAGACCATGTGCAGACTGCCCCAGCCCGTGACCCGGAGAAAAGCTGCATTCGAAATGAAGAGTAAGCACATAGGAGCAGTAGCTCTGGGTGGGAATGTGGAGCAGCCAGGCCCCTCCGCCAGGTGCAGGGCTGGGCCCCCAGAGCCCCTGGTCTGCCGCTGAGTCAGATGCTGCTGCACCTCGCCGGGGATGTCACGGACGCGTTAGGGCCACAGATGTGAGTCCCTGAGAAAACACAGACACCAAAACTGAGACGAAAGGAAACAGGAAATCTGGACAGCTCCGTATCTGCCAAAGAAATTGAACTTGAAATAGAACACCACTCGAGAAAGCAACGCAGTGGTGAACTGGGAGCAGTGGAGGGCTGGTCAGGGCAGCCCCGCGCAATGTGGGCTGGCGGCGGAGGAGAGACAGTGGGACCTCGGTACCCCGCGGTACCCCACGCGAACAAAGATGCGAACGCTTAGAACCTGGCAGATCAAATCCGGCAACATAAAACATGGTTCATCTTGGGAATGCAAGGTTGGTTGAACTGTTGAAAATCATTTCTTGTCTTGCACTGTAGCGACCAAGATAAAGGTGAAGAGTTTTATCTCAACAGATTAAAAAAAAAAAATGAGGAGAATGCCTGGATTATGGTTTGAGCCAGCCTAGGCGAAAACCTACCTAGGCAGAGGCCCCATCTCAACCCATGTCTGGTGTGGTAGTGTGCACCTGCTGTCCCAGCTACTGGGAGGATTACAGTTCCAGGCCAGCCACTGGGACTCCACCCCACTGGACGACACTGGGCATCACGATGGCATGTGCCTGTCCCTCTCTGAGTGCTTGGAGGACCCTAGGCAGACCCCAGTCCATGCCCGTGCCAGGGCAGACGGCTGCGCTGAGCAGCGCTCACCAGTGTACTCAGTGGGCTGAGACCAAGCGGTCCCAGGTCCAGGCCAGCCCGGGCAGAAGGTTCAGCAGAAAAACCTGCTCGTCCACAGTGGGAAGCATAACTGGGTCTGAGGTCCCACAGGCAGACAAGGCCCGGCCCTGGATGCGTGTGCAGAGCTGGTTTGCAGAGGAACGAGGGCGCCCGTGAAGTGTGTGTGTCCAGCCGCAGACCCACGTGCCTGGCAAGCACCAAGCCAGGTGCTGGGCGACGCCGGTATACGGCCAGAAGCCAGAAGCATGTCTTCTGAGGGCGGCGGGCGACCTGGGGGTGGTCCGGGCCGTGGTGAATTATAGTTACGGATACTGAATTTTGTCATGAAGCCGGGCACCAGTGCCTTGCGCCTGTCATCCTAGCTACTCAGGAGGCTGAGATCTGAGGGTCGCGGTTCAAAGCCAGCCTGGGCAAGGAAAGTCCTGAGTCTCTTATCTCCAAGAAACCATCAGAAAACCAGAAATGGTGCTGTGGCTCAAAGTAGTAGAGTACTTGCCTTGAGCAAGAAAAGCTCAAGGACAGAGCCCAGACCCTTGAGTTCAACAACAACAAAGTCATGAGAACACCACTAGGAAGGTGAGTAGGCAGGCCACAGACTAAACCTCCAAGTGTGCCGACTGAAGGCCAGAGCCACGATCAACCACGATACTTGAATAACAGACCAGCGTGGCTCGTGGAAGGTACAGAATTCGCCTTGAGAAACCAGGAAACTCCACTGGGCACCTACCAAACACCGTGCCACAACCACAGCGCCCCGGGCTGGTGGGCGGGGAGGGGAGGGGAGGGGTCCTCCCCAGGCCCGCAGCCCCTCTCCCGGGAAAGCACCCTCAGAGGCCAGGGCACATTCAGCCATTACAGCCAGGCCAGAGACCGGGTCAAGCCCGTCTCCTCGGTGGAGGGACTGTGCGCACCAGCCCGCCAGGGGCGTCGGCTAGCATGGACGCAGCTCAGAGCCACAGTGCTGCGTGGCTGGTTCGGCAGGACAGTGGCTGCCTCGTGCCAGTGGAGCATGGAATCCAGCAGCCAGGGGTCCCGGCCCCTTTTCTGCCCCGCGCAGCCGCACAGGGCACGCAGGACAGCACAGGTGCGAGTTGTGTCTCCAGTGGGTCGTAGCACAGCCCTCCACGTCAGCTTGGCCGGGCTGCAGGGTGGAGCCACAGCCACCATGCCTCCCGCCGCTGCTGCTGCTGCTGCGTCTGGCGCAGGGGCTGGGTGGGCAGGCGCGCCCTGCGTGGGGGTGGGCAGGGCTGGGGAGGGGGCGTGGGGGGCAGGGCCGGGTGGGAAGGCACTCCCCCCGTGGGGGGCTCCGGTGAGGGCGCACTGTAAGAGGCTCCCGGTCCCCGGGTGGGCAGGGCCTCCCGCAGCACGCGCCAGACCATTAGATCAAAACTGTTGTTTATTGTATTTTTTCAGGTGCCAGTTTTCCATCGGGTGAGGTGTGCATCCCTCGCCTTTTGCTCTGTCATCTGCTCCTTTCTCTCGTTCTCTCTCCCGTCTCCGTGGTTCACGTGCATTCGTGTCGTTTTCACCCATTTCCCGCTGGTTCTGTGCCCCCCCCACCTTCCCTCAGATGTGCGCGTGTACACACCCAGCGCCAGGTACAGAATCCAGAGTCATCTGAAAACAAAAAAACGGGTTAAGAACAAGTCCTTTGTTACCTTATCTTTGGTTTTGTTTTTCAGTATGTGTATTAGTTTATTTTCGGATGAAGAGGTGCTTGGCTATTACAACTTGGTGATTCTCTCCCTCAGCGTCACTGTATCTGGAGTTTTGTGCAATTTGTTATAACCCACTGTATTTTAGATCTAACTTTCGCATATCAGGGAAAACATGTTGTCTCTCTGATCTTGGCTTACCTCACCACATGATTTCTTCTAGCTCCATCCATTTCCCTGCAAATGCCATTATTTTGTCATTTCTAATGGCTGCGTAATATTCCACTGTGTATAAATACCACAATTTTTGGATCCATTTATCTGTGGTGGGGCATCTGGGTTGTTTCCATATCCTAGCTATTGTGAACAGTGCTGCAATAAACATGGAGGTGCACCTGTCCTTGTATATTGGTTCCTGTTGTTCAGGGTAGATGCCTAGAAGTGGTATGACTGGGTCGTAAGGGAGGTCAATCTTTAGCTTTCTAAGGACCCTCCAGACTGCTTTCCAAAGTGGATGTGTAAGTGTACATTCCCACCAGCAGTGTAATAGGGTTCCTCTTTCTCCACATCCCCTCCAGCATTTGTCGTTGGCTGATTTGTGGATGTGGGACATTCTGACTGGGGTAAGGTGGTATCTCAGGGTTGTCTTTATTTGCATTCCCTTCACCACCAGGGATGGTGAACATTTCCTCACGTGTTTCTTTGCTATTCTTAACTCTTCTTCTGAGAAGTCTCTCTTTGGCTCCTTGCCCATTTAGTGACTGGTTGTTAGGTTTGGGAGGGATTCGTTTCTTGAGCTTCCTGTATATTTTGGATCTTGGGCCTTGGTTGAGCCAGTGACCCCTACCCCCGGCACTCCAGGAAGCTCTGGCTGTGGTGGGTGTGCGCCGTGGGTGGTGTGACCAGTCAGTGAGCAGCGGGAGTCACCGTTAGCAAGGAAGAGTGAGGAGGAAGGCCTGCAGCCTCCGGGCGGCTCCTCAGCCTCCAAGTGCCTCTGTAAAATCACATTAAGTGTAATGGAATAAACTCGGAATGCGGCAGTCCCTGAGCAGAGGGGATCAAACGAAGGCCCGGCGCCCTTGCTCCAGGATGAGAGCAATCAGCCTCATTCGTTTTATTGCATTAGCGTGGGCACAACCGAAGAAAAGGGGCTTTCTTCTGGCCTCTGACGCCTTCGCGCACAGCCTCAGAGCCGCGCGGCGGCGTCCTGACCTCGGCCTGCTCGGGCTCCCGCCCCGCCCGCCCCGGGCGCCTCGACCCTCACCCAGCCCCAGACGCAGCGCTCTTGTCCACGCCGCACAGCCTCTGGTCAAGAGCTCTCGGGGCATCAGGGCCGCTTTCTCTGGGGGCCTGGGAGTGGCCGGTGGAAGGTCAGCGCATCTGGCACGTCAGGACCCATCTTGGCCATTTTTTTCAAAATTAATTTTGGGTTGAAAGGGCTCAAAGAAGCCTTTGTTCCTCTCACACTGCTCCGGGGAAAGGACTCGTGGGAAACCCTGTGGAGCAGGGGGAGCACGTGCCCTCCGTCCCCAGACGCCCGGCTCTGACGCGCCCTCTTAGCAGCCTGGCTTTGACGTTTCCGTCATCCGTTTTCTCTGAGGGACGCGGGTGCGTGCGGGCTCCGGGGCACCGGGCGGGTGGCGCTGAGCGTCGGGCCCAGCGCGTGCGTTTCCTCAGAAGCCGGCAGTTCTGCCACCTGGGACAGGAGGGTTGCTCTCCTGTCGTGGCAGCCAGCCTACCTGACGTGCCCAGACCCCCTGCTCACGAGCCCCACCCATGCAAGGCAGGGGCTGCCGCCAGCCGCCGATCCCGGGGCTTGGTGATCTGAGCTCTCTGTGTTCTAGGAGGTGGTTGGTTGTCAGAGCAACTCATGCAGCAAGGCTTTATTAATAGCACAGCTCCGGGACAGGAGCCCTGCTCAGCGCCCCGCACCACACGTGGCTCCCTGTGCTTGCTGGGGGGTTGGGGTGGGGACGTGGCCCTCACAGACAGCTGGCCCTCAGGTGCGGCCCACGTGACTACGCCTGCTCCCACAGGACACCCCTGTGCTTGCGTAGACACTGGGCTGTGTCTGCATTACACTGGGCGGCACCGTCGTACGGCCCGGCCCTGCTCTGCCCCCTTGCCAGTCCAGTTTCATACTGCCCTGTGTGGGCGGACTTACTGGGCAGCTGCAGACACCACTGCTTACTCATGCACAGCCTGGTAACTCACGCACTGCCTGGCCCGGCCAGGGCTCGCAGCCACCCCAGCTTCCTTCTGAGGCTCACCGCATCAGCCTGGACTCAGGCATCCCGCAGGCTCAGACCTGGCGAGTGGATGATGGATGGAGACAGGATGCCGGGGATGGCTGAGTAGTAGATGGGTGGACGCTGGCTGGATGACGGTGACGAGTGGATGGCAGGTGGATGGATGGGGGATGATGGGGATGGGGGATGATGAGTAGGTAGATGGATGGGTGGATAGATGGATGGCAGAATGATTAAATGGAAGGTGGATGGGTGGACGTGGGGATGGAGATGTCTGGCTGTGGTAAGAGGGATGCTCACCGTCTGTTGGAGCCTCAGCGAATTCTGCAAGGCTGTTCCTCTCCTTCCGGCTTGCCTAGTACGGAAGGCGCAGAGATTGAGATGGGCTGGGTCTCCAGATGTACAAGAGAAGGGGCGTGGAGGCGTGCTGGCCCTCTGGACATCGCGTGGTGGTCAGCACAACTGCTGGGCAGAAACCCACTCCACAGCCTGCGTCTTGTCTGATCCTTGCTGGTCTGGCTGCACACCCTGACCACCAGCCTCAGGGCTGCAGCGGCTCCGTGGTTGGGAGACGCCGCCTGCCCGAGCCTGCGCTTCCCTCCCACCGCCAGTCACCGCGCAGTGTGGTTACGCGGGGCCCTCTGTCCTCAGCCGGGGTGCGCCCGCCAGCGCCCCGCAGCCGCGTCCCCACACCAGACCCCGCCGCCTTGTGAGGGATGCCAGGCAGGCCTCGGTTTACTGTCCTGCGCGGGCTGCACGGGGGGCGGGCCCCGGTGACGCGCCCACATGGGCGTGCACCCAGCCCCCGTCTGAAGCGGTGTCAGCAGCGCTCACTGCTCTGTGTCCGTCCACGTGGGCCACTCGGGAGCACACCCCAGCTTGCTCCTTTCCTCTCCTAAAATCAGCACTGGTGGCTCACACCTGTAATCCTACCTCTCGGGGCTTGAGACGTGAGTGGTTTCAGTTCAAAGCCAACCTAGGCAGAGAAGTGCCCGAGTCTTTGTCTTCAGTTAACCAGCAAAATGCCAAACTGGAGGCATGGTTCATGAGGTAGAGCCAGCAAGCAGAGGGAGAGGCTGTGTGAAGCCCTGGTGCGCTCCCCAGCTCCCCAGCGTCAGAGAGCCTCGCTGGCCCTGCGAGCGAACTGTGAACTCCTGCTCATCCGACGAGGCTCAGGGTGGTACAGAGGACAAAGCAGACGTCCCAGTCCCCCTGGCCGGCCGTGTCCATCCTCACGGCTCCGGCCTCTGTGGCCGTCCTTACAGCTCCAGCCTCCGTGGCCAGCTGTGTCTGGCCTCACGGCTCTGGCCTCCGTGGCCGACCGTGTGTGGCCTCACTCTGCTGTCTGCTCTCTCTCTGCAGGGCCTCATCAAGGTGCGGGGAGATCGGTGTTGGTGGGACCTCACCTGCATGGACTTCCACTATGAGGTGAGCTCAGACAGTGGCCGCGCCAGCCCTGTGGACTTCTGCACCTCCCCCTTCCCTTGGGCCTCCCCTGGGTGGACCTCACAGTGTCCCCCAACCCCCCTTGCTGGCTGGGCCACGTGGATTGCGAATCCAGTGGTAGCTTTGGTTTTCCTCGTCCGTCCAGCGGTGGGGCAGGCTGCACTCCCTTCCTGGGGCTGTCTCCCACGCCCTGTGACCTGCCACCCCGGCACACCGTTTGTCTCCCCTTCCTCGCCCCAACCCAGGCCTGGGTGTCAGTTCCTCAGTTCCTGCAGACAGACCCTCACCCCCACCCACCTTCGTTTATGTCCGCTGTTTATTCAAGGCCCCTGGAACCCCCTCAGGAGGGCCCTGCGGGGCCTGAGGGGGCCGCAGGTGCGGTGGCTGGGCCGAGACGCTGCCCACGGCTCCTCCCGGGGAGCAGACGGCGCTCTCTGGGTCCCTCACCCCCAGTTTGAGCACACTCGGTTTAGAGGTACGCTCCAACTCCAGGGTGGATGGAGGTGGTTTTAAAACGAAGAACTAGCTTTGCTTCAAACTGCTTCCCACAGAACCTCTGGGGTCGGCCCGGGGCTCACAGCACCTCTGTCCCTGCAGACGCAGCCCGTGCCCAACCCGCTGGCCTACTACCTGCACCGGTCGCCCTGGTGGCTCCACCGCGTCGAGACGCTCGGCAACCACGTCGTGGAGCTGCTGGTGCCGTTCCTGGTGTTCCTCGGGCGCCGGCCGTGCCTCCTGCACGGGGCCCTGCAGATCCTGTTCCAGGTAGGCCATGCCCGGGGCTTCCCGGCAGCCCGCCCCCGCCGGACTCCGCGAGGGCTTCCGCTCTGCGCTGGCCCCTTGTGCTTGACGCTCATAGCACAGCCAGAACGGGTGGCCCTGCCCCTGGAGGGGTGACAGGCCCCGCCTCCCCGCCCCAGGCCTGGCAAGTTCTGCGGAGGGCTCTGCCCCACCCCAGGGTCACCCATCTGTTGTCGCTGCATGTGCCGGGATTTCTCGCTTCTCTGCTGGGCTGGCTTGCAGTGTCCTGCGTCTGCACTCCTCTCCCTGGGCTGAGTCCCCCTGGAATGCGCTCTCTTGGCTCTGCCATTGCTGGGGTGACCTCACCGGGGTTTAGTGTGGGATCTGGCATGGTTGCCGGTGGGGGAGGCCGCCCCACACGCCTCTTCTGTACACAGCCTGCAGCGGCTGGGGAGAACACGGGCCTGGCAGCGCTCTCTGGAGCCTGTGCTTTCCGGCGGTTTCTACATGTATCCGACGGTGGATACAACTTTAGAATGGGCTCTGAGGCCTGGCCTCCAGCTCACCCCTCCCTCGGTGGAGCACTGCCTCCATGGGCACGTCTGGCAGGGAAAGAAAAGTTCCGTGGCCTTGCCCCGGCTGTGCTGCCCCGGGCTGTTTTGCAGCCCGTGATCCTGGAGCTCAGAGATGTGCAGACCAGAGTTCCCCGCGCCCCGCCCCATGCCAGGGTCAACGTCACGCAGCTGCGACTACACTGGGTGGCGCCGCTTGGGCTGGCTTCCCGCGTCGAGTGCGTGTGCACATCCCACGCATGCGCCCATCCGTTCTAGGGACCGTCCGTGTGGGGCGCTGCCAGCTGCACAGGCACGGCAGCGGCTCCAGCCCGGCCCCTCAGGCCCCGGCCAGTGGTTCTCACCTGCTGCAAAGCCTGGGCGCTGCTGGACACACGGCTCAGGGAGAGGCAAGGGCTCTCCTGCAGGCCCCTGCCCTCTTGGCTTCCAAACCAGTGCTGGGGCTGTGAACTCACCCACCGCCCCGTTCCTTGCTTCTGCAGATGAGCAGACACTGCAGGACCAGAACCGAGAGGCAGGGTGTCCTAGTACACAAAACTGGTGTCGGGGGCTGGAGTCCCCTGTGTGCTAGGAAGCTTCAGCCACCGGAACGCAGACTTGTGTGCAGTTCCTCAGCAACAGTCCCGGGTGTGCCAGGGCCAATGTGAGCAGCTCATGGCCCCTACAAGGAGGCCGCCGGGTGGCAGGGACCCACGACGATGTGGGGGGTCAGCGGGGTGGCTGGCTAGCCCAGCCCCAAGGTCCACCACCCCTGGCACCCTCAGCCCACACTGTGTGGGGCAAGGCGGTGATGCCCAGAGTCTGCCAGGCATCATGTCCACACAGCGGGCGTGTCTGGGCCCGGGGCAGCCTTTGCCCTCCCAGAGTTCAGAGTGTGCACAACTCTGCCGCACCCATCTAGGGATGCAGCCTCCACTCCCTCCCCACAGCCGCCATTCTGCCCCGTCCCCCTCTCCCCACCTCCACCCCCACTCCTCCCCTGTACCTTATCCCTCCCGCCCTACCTCTACCCTATCCTCCACTCTACAGGATTCCCCACTTCCTCTACCCTATCCTCCACTCTACAGGATTCCCCACTTCCTCTACTCTATCTTATCCTCCACCCTGCTCTCCCCCATCCTCCACCCCCTCCCCACAGCCTGCACTCTGTTCCTGGTGCGTAGGTTGCCGTTCCTTCCTCTGGGAGGATGGATGCTCACGTGCTCGCCGCCGCCCACGCTCCAGTTACACAGCTGTTTGAAGGTCTCCTGCCGCAGACCTGCCGGCTAGCCGGGGGCCTGTGGGAAGGGCAGGAGGCCTGGGGCCCCGCCAGCTCCCTACACAGCTGGGACCCAGTCCTAGCGGCACCCCTTTTGAGTTGCGATAAAACACAACATATCCTGTATTTTTCCTCTTCCGAGACACGTTGCCCAGGCTGGCCTTGAGCGGAGTTCTCCTGCCTGAGGTTAGAGGGTCCGCCCGCACAGGTGGCCAGGGTGCCACTGTGGAGCGCACACAGCTTCTCTGCAGGGCAGCCTGGGCTCCTGTGCCGACAGCACCTGCCCTGTCTCAGGCCTGGCTCGTGGCCTCCCTCCCCTGCGCACCAGCCTAGGCTCTGTTCCCAGGCCAGGGGCATGTTGTTGCAGATGGGCATGTCTGTCCATCTGGCCCAGGTTTCTTGGTCAGTGCCTGACTCTGGTTTGTCAGAGCTCAGACCCACTTCTTGGGGCTTGTGTCTTGCCATGTCCTCTGTGGGAACCGGGGCCGGCCCTGTAAGATCCGCCGCCTCACACTCCCCTTCCTCTGGGGTCCGGGCACCTGTTGCCGGCAGACGTGCAGTGCTGGGCAGGGCCGCACTGAAGACCGAGGAAGGGAAGATGCCTCTAGAGTTCTCAGGCCCAGCTTTGTGCTGAAGCCATTCTTACCGAGAACGTGGCCAGAGGGAGGAGGAAGCAGAGCAAGTCTGGAGGGTGACCCCGAGCATGGCCGCTCTCTGTCTAGCTGTGCAACCTGTCATGGGGCTTCTACACAGCTGTGAAAACCAGTACTGTCCCCGCCTCTGCTGTGGGGCCTACTTCTCCAGGCCAGGCCCCCGCCCCGGCAGGGGGTCCTTGGAAACAAGCTCCTGTCAGAGCCCCTCTACCAGCAAGTCCAGGAGCTCCCCATGGGCCTGGTCCCTTTCACTCCCCCAAGGTGCTTCTGCCGCGTGACCAGCACTGGCAGGGTCTTGTGCTTCTGCCCAGTGCCGCCCCCACGCATGTGTCCCGTTCCTGGTGGTGGATGTGTAGACCACATGACCATTTCCTGTGCCTCTTCGGACACTCTTTGTTAGGTTTAGGTTCCTCCCTATTCCTGATGTTGCTCTTTGGCCCCGGTGTCCGTGTGTTAGCCTTAGCTGCCGTGTGTCTCTTCGCGCTGGGCTCTCTCCTGACCAGAGCAAGTCAGTGCTGTCCTCCGGACACTTGCTCTCAGGAGTGTGCGGGACTGGGTCGTCAGTCACAAAGCCCCGGTGGGAGCTCCAGCCCTGGTGTACACAGCACACCTGGCCCCCAGTGCTCACTGTGTGTGCATTCTGAAGTCTTGTTGGCCAGAAGGCGCCCCCCCTTTCTCCGGTCCCTGTGCACACAAGGCCTCACACTGCATGCCACGGTCCGTGTCTTTGCCTCTGCCGTCCCAGGTCCAGGAGGCACTGCCAGAGAGGCCTCCCTGGTGTCCCCGGTGGAGCAGTCAGGTCCTGCGCGCCCACAGCCAGACGGGTGTCCTGTTTAGGTATCCCGTGTTATGTGGGGATACCTACGTGGGTCCAGCTCCTGCCTCGCAGAACCAAACCTCTGACCCTACTCTAACACTGCATGAGTCGCGGGCCCAGCAATAACCTGGAGCCGTGGCCTCCCCTTCCCAGAGCACCACGAGCCCGAGTCTTGGCTGAGGGGTTGGATGTGCAGCCACTTGCATGTGGCATCTTGAGAAGCTGAACTCATTTCCCATTTGCTCTGCAGAGGAAGGGAGAAAGCTCAGGTCTGAGGCATGCTGTGAGCTGGTGCTGCCAGGGGCTCATGGGTGTGAGCAGTCCCGAGTTGCTGTGACTCGCCTTTCCTCCTTGTGTGTACGCTGAGGCAGTGAGCGGTCGAGGTGGGCTTACAGGGCGGCCAGCCAGCCTGCTGCACAGGTTGGAAGCCAGGTTGGTGCTCACCACCTCTGTGACCACTCCCACAGCGGATCCCATCACCCTGGGTGGCCTAGGCTTCCTGGCACAGTGCTCTTGAAGACTTACACAGGTGGACATAGGCAGGACCGACCTTGGAGGCCCCTACTGCCCCAAGTGCTGGACACTGGCTCCTATAGGACTCCTAGCTGCGTCCTCACCGGCCACCCCAGCCTGGCCAGCGGCAGTTAGATGTGCCTCCTGGCCCCTAGCAGGGAGAGGCTCACGGGGAGGGATGTTCACACGTCCCGAGGCTTGATTCTGCGGCGTGAGCTCCTGCCTCCCCTGCACTGACTACACACCATGCCCCATGGCACAGAGAAGCAGAACTGGTGCTGCTCCCGGATGCCGGGGTATCCTCAACAGCACCCCAGGAGACGGCCTGGGCCAGCCCTGTCGCTCACATCTGTCCAAGTCTCCAGCCTGCCAGAGTTGGGATGGGGCAGCTTCAAGTGTTGGGAGTGCTACATGTCCCATTGGCCAGCCGTGACGCCCCTTTAGAGGGTCTGGCAATGTCCACACGGCGGCGTCTGCCCATCATAGAATGACACGGGCCTGGGACCCTGTCCTCACAGAGTGACCCTCACAGCTCCCTAGAGACACCATGTGACTTCCTCTGCAGTGCTCAAGAAAACCCAGCAGTACCACGGGCTGGGGACAGGGCTGCTCTGTGGTCAGTGCTGGGGACGGGGCTGCTCTGTGGTCACTCAGTGCTGTGGGACGGGGGCTCTGTGGTCACTGCTGTGGGACGGGGGCTCTGTGGTCACTACTGTGGGACGGGGCTCTGTGGTCAGTGCTGTGGGACGGGGGCTCTGTGGTCAGTGCTGTGGGACGGGGCTGCTCTGTGGTCAGTGCTGGGGGACGGGGGCTCTGTGGTCACTCAGTGCTGTGGGACGGGGGCTCTGTGGTCAGTGCTGTGGGACGGGGGCTCTGTGGTCAGTGCTGTGGGACGGGGCTCTGTGGTCACTCACTGCTGTGGGACGGGGGCTCTGTGGTCAGTGCTGTGGGACGGGGGCTCTGTGGTCACTCAGTGCTGTGGGACGGGGGCTCTGTGGTCAGTGCTGGGGACGGGGGCTCTGTGGTCACTGCTGTGGGACGGGGGCTCTGTGGTCAGTGCTGGGGACGGGGCTGTGGTCACTCAGTGCTGGGGACGGGGCTCTGTGGTCACTCACTGCTGTGCGGTCCTGGGCTGTGCTTGGGATCGCTCCAGGACTGGGCCAGTGCAGTTACTGAAAAGGGTCCCAGGCCTGCGGCCCCAGCCAACCCGCTGCTGTCACCAGCCCCGTGAGAGCTCCTGCGTGTGCCCTCAAGCTTCCGGGGCTTCTCATCCAGGGGTCCCAGGCTGGGCATGGGCCCTGAAACTTCAGAGAGACTCGGCCTTGGGCTGCCTTCAGGAGTCACCGTGGCAAGGTCTGGCTGGGCCTGACGCACTGTGGATGGCTGTGCCGTGACTGGGGTCCTGCAGAAGCCGCACGCTCACACAGGGCCGGGTGGGGGTGGAGGCAGGAGGCTGTACTCGGGCCTGCACCCCATACAGGTGGTCCTCATCCTCAGTGGGAACCTGAGCTTCCTGAACTGGCTGACCATGGTGCCCAGCCTCGCCTGCTTCGATGACATGGCGCTGGGCTCCCTGTTTCCCTCCGGGCCACAGGGCCTCAAAGACCGTGTCCTGAGGATGCAGCGGGAGGGGGCTCGTGGGGCCCGGCCACGGCCGACTCACGGTAAGTGAGAAGTGAGGCCTCGCCGGTTACCTCGTGCCCACAGGGAAGCCGGGGCTGCCTCCCCCAGAACAGGGCGTGAGCCCCCATACCTGGGAGGGATGCTGTGTGTAGACGTGGGGTCCCAGCGAAAACCTGCCCGGGGAACATGTCACACAACCCCCGGAAGTTCACGGCCACACTGCGGGAGGCCCCTGCACGGCCAGTGGGCCTGTCCCTGAGCCCAGAGGGGAGGACGGAAGCCAGGGCCCCAGGGATAGGCTGGACCCCGCTGATAGAGCGCCTCCTCTCTCGGGCTGGGGCCCCACTAATGGGGGTGCCTCCTCCTCAGGCCAGGACCCCCCTAGTGAACGTTGTCTCCCTCTGGTGAGACTGCCCCCAGGGCTGGGACCCCTGCTAAAGACTCTTCCCCTCCGGCCAGGCTCCAGGGTGCGGCAGCTGGTCAACTTGGTGCTGGGCGCCCTGGTGGCCTGGCTCAGCGTGCCCGTGGTGCTCAACCTGCTGAGCGCCAGGCAGGTCATGAACACCTCCTTCAGTCCACTCAGGATTGTCAACACCTACGGGGCCTTCGGAAGGTACGGCCAGCCTGCACCCATGCCCTCCGTGCCCTGGTCTGCCTGTCCACTCAGCCCACCTGGAGGAAGTGTGCAAGAAGCCAGTATCACCTGTGCCCCCTGCCCCGTCCCCACACCACGGGGTGGCCCTGCCATGACCCGCGGCCTTGCCCCGTCCCCACACCACGGGGTGGCCCTGCCATGACCCGCGGCCTTGCTGGCTCCCCAGCATCACCAAGGAGCGGACGGAGGTGATCCTGCAGGGCACGGCCAGCCCCAACGCCAGCGCGCCGGATGCCGTGTGGGAGGACTATGAGTTCAGATGCAAGCCGGGCGACCCCTGGAGGCGGCCTTGCCTCATCTCCCCCTACCACTACCGCCTGGACTGGCTCATGTGGTTCGCCGCCTTCCAGGTGAGCATGTCCTCCCTTCTAGGCCCGAGTGGTCGCGCAGGCTTCCTTTGGTCCCGTACCACAGAAGCCACGAGACTGTGGGAGTCAGGGAGGGAAGAGGACTCAAGGAGGTCACCTTTCACGGGAGGATCACCAGGACCAGCCGGGCCCAAGTCTACCTGACAGGGTCTCGTCTGGCTCACAAGGACCCTGCCCTTGTGGAGGTCACGCAAGTACAGGATGAAGACACCACAGCACCCTCTGCCCACAGGGATGCCAGGCCCAGCAGGTGGCCAGACCTCCAGCAGGACTGAAACAGCTGAGCTTGGCACCTGCAGGGAGGTGAAGTCAGGCCCCGGGCAGAGCGGGACGCAGGCAGCCCCAGAGGCCAGCATGGCACTGGCAGCCTGCAGCAGGGCGGAGCAGGGGGCAGGAGGCAGCTGCGCCTGGACATACATGGCCCTCACGGCACTGCCTCCCCTCCCAGACCTACGAGCACAACGAGTGGATCCTCCACCTGGCCGGCAAGCTCCTGGCCAATGATGCTGAGGCCCTGTCCCTGCTGGCCCTCAACCCCTTCGAGGGCCGGGCCCCTCCCAGGTAAGGCGGGCCGCCTGCCCCACGCTGAGGCCCCCTCCAAGAGCCTGCTATGCGCCTGACCCAGCGGAGATCAGGCCAGGCCAGGTGGAGGGACCGCAGGAGCCAGAGATGGGGGACCGTGGCTGGGAACAGGAAGAGGGAGATCGGGGGGCCCTGGTGACAGCAGTGAGAGCTACAAGAAGATACTGGGGCCTGACTTGCTGTGGAAAGACGAGTCCTAGGAGCCAGGGGCTGGAAAAGAGTAGGAACCCCGGGGGGGGGGAGCGGGGCGCCACCAGGAGCCCACAACCAGAGAGCAAGGCCAGTGCAGCCTCCAAGGGGGGCTGAGCACTCTGCTATGTAGTATGGACCCTAGTTCCAGCCGCAACTGAGGACAGCAGTCCTGGGCTGGCCGCCCCCCTCCCTGCTGGCTCTTAACTCTGACAGGACGCATTCCTGTTTTCCCTGGAGGAGCCTGGGGACAGCTGTGCCCTGGAAGCTCCCCAGCTGTCGGGCTTGGCAGACGGGGCTGCGGGGCAGCTGAACAGCTGCACCCAGGATGGAACCCCAGCCAGGGGGCACTGCCCAGAGCCCCTCCAGGGCCAGCCTCAGGGACGCCGGCACCCTCTGGGGGCAGCTGCCCTCCCAGGCAGCTTGCCGGGCCAGGCCTGCCCTGCCGGCGGCCCTGTCCACCAGGGGAGGCTGCTGTGGAAAGGAGGCGTGAGAGGCAGCTCCTGGGCGTGGCTGGGGTAGGTGCAGGGACACACACGGCAGCTGTGCAGTCTGCGGCGCCCGTGTGTTCTCAGAAGCTGTGTGTGGATGCCTGTTCTTGCCAGTGCCAGGGTGCGGGGCTGACCACAGCCTGGCCACCAGGAGCGTTCCTTTTCATAGAGTAGTGGAAGAGAAGTGGACGCTGCCCTGGTGCTCCTCGAAGGATAGCTGACATCCAAGCCACAGCACACAAGGCCGGCACAGCACTAGGCCAGGAAGGGAGGCACCTTTGAGACCTCGGGCCCTCCAAGACCCTCCAAGAGCACCTGGCTCTCCCTCTGCTTCGTTGCTGGAGATGAAGCAGCAGGAACTCAGAAACGCCAGCAGACATGGACAAAGAGCCCACAGCCAGAAAGGACTGCCCGGGACCCAGGAGGAGGAAGGACAGCATGGAGCCCCACCCAACGGGAAGGTCAGATGAGGACCTGCATGTCAGGCCTCCCACCCCACGGTGGAGAGTAAGCAGAGGCCAAGACCCTGCGCCTCCCACCACAGTGCATCCGCCCCAGCAACATCCTCACCTCCCACGGGGACGCATCCTCACCTCCCACAGGGACACATCCTCACCTCCCACAGGGACGCATCACCTCCCCACAGTGACACATCCTCACCTCCCATAGGGACGCATCCTCACCTCCCACAGGGACGCATCCTCACCTCCCACGGGGACGCATCCTCACCTCCCCACAGTGACACATCACTCCCCACAGCGACGCATCCTCACCTCCCCACAGTGACACATCCTCACCTCCCATAGGGACGCATCCTCACCTCCCACGGGGACGCATCCTCACCTCCCCACAGTGACACATCACTCCCCACAGCGACGCATCCTCACCTCCCCACAGTGACACATCCTCACCTCCCCACAGTGACGCATCCTCACCTCCCCACAGTGACACATCACTCCCCACAGCGACGCATCCTCACCTCCCACAAGGACGCATCCTCACCTCCCACAAGGACGCATCCTCACCTCCTCACAGTGACGCATCCTCACCTCCCCACAGTGACGCATCCTCACCTCCCACAGGGACGCATCCTCACCTCCCCCGGTGACGCATCCTCACAGCGACGCATCCTCACCTCCTCACAGCGACGCATCCTCACCTCCTCACAGCGACACATCCTCACCACCTCACAGCGACGCATCCTCACCTCCCCACAGTGACGCATCCTCACCTCCCCACAGTGACACATCACTCCCCACAGGGACGCATCACCTCCCACGGGGACGCATCACCTCCCCACAGTGACATCCTCACCTCCCACGGGGACGCATCACCTCCCACGGTGACGCATCCTCACCTCCTCACAGGGACTCATCACCTCCCATGGGGATGTATCACCTCCTCACAGTGACACATCCTCACCTCCCCACAGTGACATCCTCACCTCCCACGGGGACGCATCACCTCCTCGCAGTGACACATCCTCACCTCCCATGAGGATGCATCACCTCCCACAGGGACGCATCACCTCCCACGGGGACACATCCTCACCTCCCACGGTGACGCATTGTCCCCCCCAGGGTGGCGCATGCTCACTTCTTGCAGTAACAGGGTTCACTGTTACTGGCAGCACACACTTCTCACCAGTGACAAAAGACACTGTCTCATGGCCCCAAAACGAAAAACCACTTGTCATACCAAGAACCAGAAGACTTGGAAGTAACAGCAGAGTGGGAACTCTGTGCATCTGCTCAGAGACACACCACAGTCACCGTGAGAACCACAGTCAGCCCAGGAAGACCTGTGTCAGAGGAAACACGCGACAGGCTGAGAGCTGAAGTGTCGTGGCCGCACGACCGCACTCAGCAGAGGCAAGGAGGGAAGATGGGGGCTGGAGACAGGAAAAGGCAATGAGCCAACTGAGCAGAGGGAGACACTGGCCCCAAGTGAGCAGAGCTCAGAGCCTGAGGTCTGTGAAGAGGTCTGAATGGGTCACCAAGGTCCCCGGGGGGAGACAGGAAAGGCACAGAGCTGGAAGGGGCAGAGCAGTACACTCCTGCCACCCCATCAATAGGGGAGGTGCGAACAGGAGGCCCTGCAAGCATGCAAGGCCCCACTAGGAGCAACGGCACGTTTTCGTGTCATCCCAGCACCCAGAGACAGAGGCCCAGAGCAGCCAGTCGCAGGCCAACCCAGGCAAACACACGAGAAACAACCAGAACACAGGCAATAGGATCAAGTGGTCAAGTGCCTGCCTAGCAATCGAGGCCCCAGGTTTGGACTTACTGAGACCCAGCACTACCAAAAACAATGGCCAAAACCTTTCCAAGTTTAACAAAAGGCACATACCTATGGCCAATAAACTACGTAGACCCCAAAGAAACTTAAACCAAAGTTCACTAAACTTTGAAAACCTCAGGCAGCGAAGGCTGTGCAATGAGCAGGGGTTCGCAACACTGCCCCGCGGGCAGCCAAGGTACAAGTCAGCATGGGGCCCAGCCCACGGCCAGCAGGGCGGCGCTGGATGAGGAGCTGTGGCGCCACCCCACCCCACAGGAGGGCACCAGACCTGTCACCAGAAGTGTTGAGTTCTGTGTTGAGCACAGTGGACACCAGGAGGGAGGAGACCGAAGCGCAGACATTGTGTTGCCTGCCCTGGAGTTGCCAGCTGCATCCCGTGGGAGGCGCCGCTCTGCCAGTCTGGGGTGGTCAAGACAATGACAAGTGAGGGAGACAGATAAAGGAAATGAGCTCCTGCAGTCTCCTTCCATGCTCAGGGACACCAGCAGACTGGGAAGTGGACAGTGCACCGTGAGTAGCCACTGAAGCAGAATCACAGCTGGGCACTGGTGGCTCATACCTAGCTGAGATGTGAGGATCACAGTTCAAAGTCAGCCTGGGCAGGAAAGCCCATGAGCTGTCTCTAACTGATAAAGCCATTAGTGAGCTGTGACTAGTGGTGGAGTGCTAGCCTTGAGTGAGAAAGCTCAGGGACAGCACCCGGAGTTCAAGCCCAGGACCAGCATACACACAGCAAAATTCCAAAGGGAGATACTTTACACTAGTAACAAGTCAACAGAATTCTGAGAACCGTGTATATAATTCAGCTAGGTGAGGTAGCAGACATCTCCAGCCCTCACACACGGGAGGACCCAAGGCTCCTCTGGGAAGCCACAACATGAGAGGGGTGGGTGGCGACACTGTGGCCAGGGCTCCAGGCTGTCCTCTGTCCTGCAGGTGGGTCCGAGGAGAGCACTACCGGTACCAGTTCAGCCGCCCGGGAGGCAGGCACGCCACCCAGGGCAAGTGGTGGCTGCGCAGGCGCATTGGTCCCTACTTCCCTCCTCTCCGCCTTGAGGACCTGAGGGACTACTTCGAGGCACGGGAGTGGCCGCTGCCACAGCCCATCTAGGCACACCCTGGAATAAAGGCCAGAGACCACACCACACCACATGGAGTCCCCGTGTCCCTCAGCCCACGCCTGGATAGCCAGCCGGCAGCACAGCGCAATGCAGAGGATGACCCCACGGCCACCGTCCCATCCCTGCAGGAGTGGGGACAGTGGCCTCGTCCCAGGGGAGCAGTGCCAAAGGCACTGTCTAGTCCTGGGTGGGTGGCAGGGCCTGGGGAGCCCACACCCACTCTCCGCTCCCCTCGCCCGGCTGACAGGGCGGCCAACAGCCATCACCCTCCATCATGTGCCCAAGGCCGGGCCACACCACGCAGGGGCTCTCAGCAGAGGCACAGTGCAGGTCTGTGTGGACCCCGGGCCCCTGGGAGCCAGCCCAGGTGCAGACAGAGAGCTGGTGTTCCGGCTGGGAACAGGGCGCCTGTGTCTGCAGAGCACAGCCGGGCTCGGTGAGGGCACACAGTATGGGAGGCACGGGCAGGCCTGGGCCCCCTTCCCGGGCCTGCCTGGCAGGCAGCAGGGGAGATGAGGAAGGGGGACTGGGCGGGGGTGGCAGCTGGTATAGCCCAGAAGAGGTGACAGACACCAAGTGGCCCCTGCACGCCCCGTGCAGACATACGAACCCGCGGGCCTGGCAGGCCGGAGGGTCTGGAGCAATGTGTCCTCTGTGGACAAGGCCACAGAAAGGCCCTGTCACCATTCAGACACCCTGTACCCTGCGTCCTGTGGGCAGCTTACCCACACCCCACTTCGCATGTGTGTGCCAAAACCAGGGCTTGAACTTGGGAACTTGAGCACATCTGCAGACGTGCATCTGCTCAATTGGAGTCCCAAGGCCATTTTGCCAGCCTGTCTCAACTGCAGACCTTGGATCTATGATTACAGGCGTGGGCACTGGCACCAGGCGGGCTGATGTTTCTGTCTCTGTGTCCTGTGATACTGTTGCGAGGGTGGGGACCTGCCACCCGGTGTCAAAGGCACCCAGTGAGGCCTCAGGTGGCCAGGACAGAACCAAAGTGGCTGAGCAGGCCTGGCCCACGTCATGTCCGCCCAGATACCTGATGAGCTCACTGGAGACGCCAAGGCTCTGAGGGGAGCCCCGCACCCCAGAGGGTGGACAGGGACCAAGGTGGCAAGTGTGGCTGTCCCAGAAAGCCACTCAGGACATCCCGGCACCCCAGACATCTGCCTTCTGACAAGCACAGCCCTATCACACCCATTCTCCCTTCTGCACACACAGCCCTCTCTATTCTCTAGCCCTGTCACCCCAGCCAGAGAACCAGCATGTCCCCACACACACACCAGGGTCACAGGTCCTTTGCACACAGCCACCTGTGCCCAGGCCCGTGTAGACTTCCTGCTCCCCCTCGCTCCAGTGGCAAGGGCAGTACAACAATGCGAGGCAAACTGGACCTGCTGAAGGACCATAGCATGTCCAACCCCAGGAACACTTGAGTGGCACCTTCTTCCTCACTTCCCTACAATCGCCCCACAGCAGGCGGGGGAGGGAGAGATAAAATTCAGACACCAAGGCAGACATCAGCCTGCCCACACCCAGCAGCATAGTCACTCACCTTCCAGAACATGGGGCCAGCAGGAGGTGGCCCAAGGACTCTGGAATAGCAAGGCGCATGGGTGGGCCTGACCATGAAGGGGCTCCGCCTTCCCGGGCCCTGTGAGGGCCATGCTGCAGGGGGCAGAGCTGCCACCTGTGGGGAGTGCTGTGTGGCTGCTGCTCACCCAAGTGCTTCTCCCGGCTCAGAATGGGGAAAATGAGGAGGCAGCTGTGCTATAGCAGAAGAGCTGGGGGAATATCAGAGAGGTTTTGAGAAAACCACAAAATGCTACAGCAGCACATCACCGACAGCCAGAGTAAGTGTAGGAAGCCAGGAAGCGGGGCTGGGCTGCCCAGGAACCAGCAGCCCAGGACCCTGTGAGTCTCAAGCTCATGAGGGATTGCAATAGTAAGCCATCTTGAAAGAGGGTGAAACTGGAGGTCCCCTACTTCCTGGTTTCAAAGCTTCTCAGAAAACCAGTGATTGGAACTCTGTGGTACTGGTAGACACACTAAGCCAGGCATGATGGTACATGCCTGTAGTCCCAGCAGTCAAGAAGCTGAGGCAGGAGGACCGTGAGTTCAAGACCAGTCTAGGCTACACACTGAACCTTATCTTAAAAGGACAAAACAAAAAAACAGGCAGCTGCTGGACAGTGGAGTCAGCCCAGGGACCAGCCATCAGCTGGTCCAGCAAGGTGCGTTTTGAAAGGGCTCTGAGACCAGTGAATGTTGCTGGGAAACTAGATCCACATACAAAGCATGAAGTGGGGCCTTCATACCGTATCACAATCAGTTTAAGCGTTGGGGGGGGGGGGGTGGCTCAGTGGTAGAGGCTGCCTAGCATGCGGGGAGCCTTAGGATCCACCCCCAGCACCTGAAGAAGGAAGAAAACACTTGGCAGGCATGGTGGCACACACCTATAATCCTAACTACTTGAGAGGTTAGCCCCTGGAGGCAAGTGGTTCAAGACTAGCCCAGGGGCTGGGAATGTGGCTTAGTGCTTGCCTAGCAAGTCTGAAGCCCTGGGTTCCATTCCTCAGTATTACATACACAGAAAAAACTGGAAGTGGCGTGTCAAGTGGTAGAGTGCTAACCTTGAGCAAAAGAAGCTCAGGGACAGTGCTCAGGCCCTGAGTTCAAGCAGGACTAGCAAAAATAAAAATAAAAAAGACCAGCCCAGGCACAACACTCACAAGACACCCCATCTCAACCAAGGGCTGAGAGTCAACACACACCAATCATCCCAGCGAGGCAAGCAGCAAAGGTGGAAGACCTCAGTCCAGGCAGGCTGGGTGTAAAGTGCAACCCCCCACCCTGAAGTACCACTGCTCAGCAAGCCAAAGCCCTCCAACTCCTGTTTCGCCACCAGAGCACCCTTTGGTACTGGGCCATCTACCTGCCTGGGAAGCCACAGCCGGTCACCAGGCTGCGCCAGCGCCCTGTCCTCAGGGGAGGTCGCCAGTTCCTCCTGGCTCGGCTCAGCTGCACCTGGGCTGCCTGGGGCCCTGGTCCCAGCTATGCAGCTGGCTATTTGCATCTCAATGACCATGATTAATATTTAAGAAGCCAGCTGTCTGAGCCACAGGGAGCCAGGGAGGGAGAGGGGGGGAAAGATGCCTCTTTGGGCTGAGCCCCCCACCCCTGCATCCACTGGCTCCCCCCCTCCTCTCAGTGGATGGGCCACTAGCAGGGTCTAGGGCCCGCTGTGTCCCCGCCAATGTCCTGCCCAGCAGGGACACATGGGGCCACCAGCTCCTCCTCCCTGGGCTTGTCTGGTCAGCTCTGTTATGGCCCATCTTGGGAATGTGGGATCATCCAAGGGTCAAGCAAGTTGGACTGTGTCACCCAAGTCTGCCCAGAACCTTGAGGTGTGAGCCTAGAACAAGGGCCCAGGGTTAGGGCCACCTTAAGTTCAGGCCCCTGCAGCAGATGGCCCAGGCCCGCACAGAGGCTGAGCAGGATTGAGAGTTCACACCAGCCTGAAGCAACTGACTTCTCAAAACAGAACTTCACGAAAACAGCCCGAGGGCTGGATGCAGTGGCTCCCTCCTGTCCTCTCGGGCCTCTGAGTCAGACCCTAGACGGTTAGAGGCTAGCTCAGGCAAAGTTGATAAGACCTCATCCGAGTGACCGTGACAGAAGTAAAAAAAAACAAACCATCTGAAAAACAGCTAAGCAAGAAACGCTTAGAGCGCCCCGGGGTGGTGGAGTCTGACCCGAGCCTGGAGCCAGCTGCGGGCTGACACCTCCGCTTTACCCCGCCCTCCCCGGCGGGGGGGGGGGGGGGGGGGACTGCGGAGAGCCGGGAGCCCTCCCCGGCGGGGGGGGGGGGGGGGGGGGGGACTGCGGAGAGCCGGAAGCCCTCCCCAGCTGCGGGGGGGGGGGGGACTGCGGAGAGCCGCGAGCCCTCCCCGGCTGCGGGGGGGGGGGGGACTGCGGAGAGCCGGGAGCCCTCCCCAGCTGCGGGGGGGGGGACTGCGGAGAGCCGGAAGCCCTCCCCAGCTGCGGGGGGGGGGGGGGACTGCGGAGAGCCGGGAGCCCTCCCCAGCTGCGGGGGGGGGGGGGGACTGCGGAGAGCCGCGAGCCCTCCCCGGTGGGGGGGGGGGGAGACTGCGGAGAGCCGGGAGCCCTCCCCAGCTGCGGGGGGGGGGGAGACTGCGGAGAGCCGCGAGCCCTCCCCGGCTGCGGGGGGGGGGGGACTGCGGAGAGCCGCGAGCCCTCCCCGGCTGCGGGGGGGGGGGGACTGCGGAGAGCCGGGAGCCCTCCCCGGCTGCGGACGGAGCCCAGGCTGGGGAGAAAGCACCCACCTGACCGTCTCCAGGTCCGGAGCTGAAGGGCGAGCCGCGGCCGTCCTCGTGCGGCCGTCCTCGCGCGGCCGTCCTCGCGCGGCCGTCCTCGCGCGGCCGTCCTCGTGCGCGCGGCCGTCCTCGTGCGGCCGTCCTCGTGCGCGCGGCCGTCCTCGTGCGGCCGTCCTCGTGCGCGCGGCGCCGCAGCTCCGAGAGCGGGCGGGCGCTTCCGGCCCCGCGCGCGAGGCTGACGGGCGCTTCCGGCCCCGCGCGCGAGGCTGACGGGCGCTTCCGGCCCCGCGCGCGAGGCTGACGGGCGCTTCCGGCCCCGCGCGCGCGAGGCTGTGACGGGCGCTTCCGGCCCCGCGCGCGCGAGGCTGTGACGGGCGCTTCCGGCCCCGCGCGCGAGGCTGTGACGGGCGCTTCCGGCCCCGCGCGCGAGGCTGTGACGGGCGCTTCCGGCCCCGCGCGCGCGAGGCTGACGGGCGCTGCGCGCGGTTCTGCCCAGGGCCCGGCCAGCGAGCCCGCCCGTGCGCTGGGGGCTGGCGGGCCTGGCCTCGCCCGTGCGCTGGGGGCTGGCGGGCCTGGGCCTCGCCCGTGCGCTGGGGGCTGGCGGGCCTGGGCCTGGCCTCGCCCGTGCGCTGGGGGCTGGCGGGCCTGGGCCTGGGCCTCGCCCGTGCGCTGGGGGCTGGCGGGCCTGGGCCTGGGCCTCGCCGGTGCGCTGGGGGCTGGCGGGCCTGGCCTCGCCCGTGCGCTGGGGGCTGGCGGGCCTGGCCTCGCCCGTGCGCTGGGGGCTGGCGGGCCTGGGCCTCTCCCCTGCGCTGGGGGCTGGCGGGCCTGGGCCTCTCCCCTGCGCTGGGGGCTGGCGGGCCTGGGCCTGGGCCTCGCCGGTGCGCTGGGGGCTGGCGGGCCTGGGCCTGGGCCTCGCCGGTGCGCTGGGGGCTGGCGGGCCTGGGCCTCTCCCCTGCGCTGGGGGCTGGCGGGCCCGGCCTCTCCCCTGCGCTGGGGGCTGGCGGGCCTGGGCCTCGCCGGTGCGCTGGGGGCTGGCGGGCCTGGGCCTGGCCTCGCCCGTGCGCTGGGGGCTGGCGGGCCTGGGCCTGGCCTCGCCCGTGCGCTGGGGGCTGGCGGGCCTGGGCCCGGCCTCGCCCGTGCGCTGGGAACCCTGCGCACCCTGCGCCCGCCTCCGCAACGCTGGGCTTTTCCCTGGGGAACCGTGAAGCTCTCAGAGCTTCCAGGACAGACCACGGGGCACCTCCACCTCTGACGAGAGGATCCCTCCCAGGGCCTACTTCTGCCGAAAGGCGACAGTCACACACGCCCCTGCCCCAGCTCTTCTCTCTATTCTTGCCAGTCCTGGGGCTTGAACTCAGGGCCTGGGTGCTGTCCCCCAGCTTCTTTTACTCAAGGTAGCACTCTACCACTTGAGCCACAGCACCACTTCTGCCTTTCTGTTTGTGTAGTACTGAGGAACCAAACCCAGAGCCTCGTGCATGCTAGGCAAGCACTCTACCACTGAGCCACCTTCCCAGCCCTCTTTAAACCTAAAACCTTTGCCA